TTGTTTCTTGCATCTTTGTATCACTGGTATGTTTGGGGTTTGACCTCTTCCTACATTGGTTCCATTTTTGTGTCTTTTGGTCTCTGGCCCTCTCGCAATTTCTGTTGAACCAATCCTGTTTCCCAGTTCTGCATCTCTGCTTTGGTATAAATTTTGTTGTGCCTTTATCATATATTTCACAAAACTTGACATACATCTCTCTTACTTCATGTCCTAACAGCAAGTCTTTCCAGTCAAATTCCTTAAAGAAATGTCTGAGTTCCCCATAATGACCTCTCCTGAAATCAGGTTTTTCAACTGCTTCAACTTCACTTTCTTCCAGATTATAACACATTGCATACTTTATTCCCAAAAAGACATGGTCACTTTTACCCAAGGGAGGGAGGTACTGAATGTCAAATATCTCCTCCTCTTTCCTGATAAATATCAAATCCAGCATAGAGGGAACATCCCCTTCCCTCATCCTCATAGCTTGCTTAACATGTTGAAACATGAATGTTTCCAGGATGAGGATTACGAATCTACAAGTCCAAAAATCCTCTGTTCTAGCTTCATATGTCTCCCAGTCTATGGATTTCAAGTTGAAGTCGCCGACTACCAACAGTCATGATCTATCTTTATCAACTCTCAGTATAATCTCTCATTATTGTTAGAAGACCCTCACGTTTATTATCCAACTCCTCCTCTGACCATGTGTTGCATGGCGGTGGACTATATGCATTTATGATCGTTAGTTTTATCATCCTGATTGCAGATGTCTAGTGCTATTATGTCAACATCTCGTGGATTGGCAATCATTATTTCGTTTACCTTTAGGTAAATGAAATTTGGGTGCCTGACAGCTGGGTGGACAGCGCTTCAGATTCGTAGTCCTGAGGTTCCGGGTTTGATTCCCGGTGGAGGCAGAGACAAATGGGCAAGATGTTTCTTTCACCCTGATGCTCCTGTTACCTAGCAGTAAATAGGTACCTGGGAGTTAGACAGCTGCTACGGGCTGCTTCCTGGAGGGGTGTAACAAAAAGGAGGCCTGGTCGAGGACAGGGCCGCGAGGACATTAAGCCCTGAAATCATCTCAAGATAACCTCATGATAGGTGTTCTTTCACCAGCACAGTAACACCACTGCATTTCCTAATTTTTCTGTCCCATCTCCAAACTGAGTAGCCCCTTGGGAATATGACCTTATTTAAAATATCATCTTCAAGTTTTGTCTCCGAGAGTACAACAATGTCTGGTGTCTGAGCTGTATTACATCACTTATCCTCTGTTGGATAAGGGCGCTGGTGGCTGTGTGGATAGTACGCTGGACACACAATCCTGTGGCCCGGGTTTGATTCCCGGCGCTGGTGAGAAACAATGGGCAGAGTTTCTTTCACCCTAATGCCCCTATTACCTAGCAGTAAAAAGGTACCTAGGAGTTAGAGAGCTGATACAAGCTGCTTCCTGGAGATGTGTGTGGGTGTGGAAGAGAGAAAATAGTAGTTAGTAACAGTTGATTGACAGTTGAGTGGCGGGCCAAAAGAGCAGAGCTCAACTCCCACAAGCACAACTAGGTGAGAAGTATACAGCAGTGAGGAGAGAGGCAGAAAGAAATTTTGAATTTATCCAAGGGCCACTAATATTAGAGGCCTTGATGAGAACAGGGAGCCAGTGGCTTGCCAAAAGTCCCCCCTTCCATTTGCCCTGATGATCGTTTCCAGCTGTATATTAAAACCCAGCAGAGTTTTGGCATTTATGGCTTTGGCAGGTAGGTAGTTCCACGGGTTTACAACCCTATGGGTGAAAAAGCATCTCCTGTTTTTTGTCTTACATTGAGGATTGTTGAGCTTGAAACCGTTGCTCCTCATTCGTGTGACATCTGACCTTTTGAAGAAATTGTCCTGATTAACAGTATCGGTCTCTTTGGACACCGCTCTCGTCCACTTTTATCTCTTGATTCCTAGCTGTGGACAGTGCTCGCGTCCAATACAAAAATATTTGCATAAAATTAATATTTTATCCGTTCGACTTCGGGATAGTTTCAAAACGAGTGCCTTTAGAGTGTGCACAATGTGATACCAAATTGAAAGATGTAACACGAAACATGATGTCAGAAAACTTGAAAGATTATAAATACGTTTTTGGTCAAAATTTTAAAATATTTGTTAAAATTCTATTTATTGTGCTATTATTATGGGACTATTTTAAAATGCACACCTTTAGATTGTGAACAATTTGATACCAAAATGAAAGATGTAACATGAAAATTTATGTCAGAAGACTGGAAAGATATAAATAATTTTGTGATGACGAGCATCCAAAATTAAAATATTTGTTAAAATTCAAGTTATTGCTCTATTATTATTGGACTAGTTTTAAAATACGCGCCTTTATATTGCGAACAATTTGATACCAAAACGAGCGACGTAACACGAAAATTGATGTTATCAAACTGAACAAGTATACATGTTGACCAGACCACACACTAGAAATTGAAGGGACGACGACGTTTCGGTCCGTCCTGGACCATTCTCAAGTCGATTGTGTCGTCGTCCCTTCAATTTCTAGTGTGTGGTCTGGTCAACATACTTCAGCCACGTTATTGTGACTCATCGCCTGCAACAAGTATACATGTTAGGTTGTGGTGTGCAAATCGGTGCTCGTTCACTGGTAACTTTAGGCTTTGCTGCCGGGAGTCTCGCCAGGCTTTTGGACATTATATGCATATACACCTGTAGGGAATTTAATTGCAAACACAATGATACCAAAACGAATGACATAGCACGAGAATTAAGGTGAGAAAACTGAAACGAGTATACACATTTTACTGATTTTGTGCGCTCACGGGTAACTTTTGCAAACTTTAGGCTTTGCTGTTGGGAGTCACGCCAGGCTTTTGGACATTATATGCATATACACCTATAGGGAATTCTATTGCGAACACAATGATCCCAAAACGAATGACATAGCACAAGAATTTAGGTGAGAAAACAGAAACGAGTATACACATTTGGGTGTAGCCGCACACTCGCCCGCACGCCAGAGGCATGACCTCTAAATTGGTGGCGCGCATGCTGTAGGCTCAAAAGTGTTAACATCCTCCAAATTGTTTAGTATTTTAAAGGTTTTGATGAGATCTGCACTGTCAAGAGAATCTTCAAAACAAATCTAGATAGTTTCCTTCAAGAAGTGCCGGACCAACTGGGCTGTGGTGGATATGTGGGCCTGCAGGCCGCTCTAAGCAACAGCCAGTTGGACCAAGCTCTCACAAGTCAAGCCTGGCCTGAGGAGAAGAACTTCCAGAACCCCATCAAGCAGGTCATGCCTGGTTTGCTCCCGTTATTAAAAAAAAAGCAAGAACAGTTTTTGTTAATTGTACTCCTAGAGTACTGCTTCCAATACCGTGCCCTTACATTGTTCTGAAATCTGGAACATATTGAAGAAGTGACAAGTAGACTTCTAACATGGATGAAAAATTTTCTGACGAAAAAATGAGGGCAGTAATCAGAGGCAATGTAACAGAATGGAGTAATATCACGAGTGGAGTACCACAGGGTTCAGTTCTTGCACCGGTAATGTTCATTGCCTACATAAACGATTTACCAGATGAAATATAGAATTACTGTACATGAACATGATTGCTGATGATGCTCAGATAATAGTAAAGATAAGAAACACATGACTGGCATGCCCTTCAAGAAGACCTGAACAAAATAAATGTATGGAGCACGGCATGGCAAATGGATTTTAATGTGAATAAATGCCAAGTTATGGAATGTGGAATAGGAGAATATAAACCCCCACACAACATATAAATTATGTGGGAAATCGTTAAAGAATTCTAATAAAATAAGTGATTTAGGGATAATTCTAGACAGAAAACTATCACATGAGGACCACATAAAGAACATCATGTAAGGAGCCTATGCTACACTTTCTAATTTTAGAATTGCTTTTAAATACATGGATGGTGATATAATAAAGAAATTGTTCATGACTTTTGTTAGACCAAAGCTGGAATGTGCAGCAGTTATATGCCACTCATATCTTAAGCACATCAACAAACTGGAAAAGGTGCAAAGACATGCAATTAAATGGCTCCCAGAACTGAAGGACAAGAGCTATGGGAGAGGTTAGAGGCATTAAATATGCCAATACGTGTACTAGAAGATAGAAGAAAAAGAGGCAATATGATCACTACATACAAAATAGTAACGAGAATCGATAAAATTGATAGCTAAGAATTCCTGAGACCTAGAACTTCAAGAACAAGAGGTCATACTGTAGATTTAAACTAACTAAACAAAGCTGCCGAAGAAATATAAGAAAATTCACTTACGAAAACAGTGGCAGACAGTTGGAATAAGTTAGGCGAGAAGATGGTGGAGGCCAAAACCGTCAATAGTTTCAAAGTGTTATATGACAAAGAGTACCGGGAAAATGGGACATCACGAGCGTAGCTCTCATCCTGTAACTACACTTAGGTAATAACACTTAGGTAATTACTTGCTGTGGCTATCCTTTTTTGCTACCTGGCACTGGGGTTCTAGTGGTATGGCACAGTCCTGTGGGTTTCCTTTTCCTTGCAAGACATAGTTTCTTTAATAAGTTTTGTATGCAGGCTGTGGCCTCTGTTCTGGGACTTTACTTTTATGTTTTGTGTTTTTGGGAAGGTACCCTCAGTCAGTACTAGCTGCTGGCTAAGCAGTTGGAAGAAGTACTATGCCTTCTGTGACCCTCCCTCTTGACTACTGGAGGCCAGGATCAGAAATTTAGAGCCTTTACGAGACGTATCCAACTTTTTACTTGATCCACATTAATTAAATTGTAGCTATCCACAATTAATATGAATAATGTATGTACCAAAATTTGAAGACAAAAAATTCATGCATAATTTAAAATGAATAAAAACAAATATAAAATAATTGACCATGAGTCACATAATTACAACAGTGAATGAGAGCATCCTCATCCCTGCTTGTCCTATAACCTTCCTACAGCATCCCATACATGAAGGACTCACCTGGCTACCCCAAGCATAACCTCCATTCTTGAGCTTAATGAGAGCACATTCCCCATGAATACTCTCAATTGAGGCATCAGTATCCTCAATGCTATCTTGAAGATCGTAGATAGTTGGGTTGCTTGCCAGCTCGTCTACATGACCAAGACACTGAAAAGATGATGTTAATTCATTAAAATTTATTTAGGAACAGCAAATACTATGCATTGCATTAAGTAATTACAAAGCCCAGTGCATGGAAAAGCATATATTTATGGGTTAGAAATTAATATTATCTCAATGAATAGCGCATAAATTACCCATAATGATTAATAAATGAATTTCTGTAGCAAAAAAACAATGCCAGCAATTGGGGTTAGGCACCCAGAAAGATAGGTATAACAAAACAAACCCCACATGGTAAAAAAATTCCAACTAAAAACCTAAAAGAGAGACAAAACTTCTGCCAATCCCAAAGAAACAAGCAACAAGCAAACAAGCAAATGTCACACTCCACCGCCACGTTGCTCGACCACGCAGCCCTCCCCTTCCCGAGAGCGAGAGGGGAAAGCCCCAGACTTCCCCGTGCAGGTTACCTAGCACTCCAGTTTGGAAGCTAAGCATCAAACAATGCAAAAAAAACTGAGGCTCACCAAGAAAATGACATTTCATTACATTCAAAGCTAGTTTTCTGACCATTTTCTGAACAAACCGACCACCAGGACTGAAAGAGCAGAAACCCCTGCGCTGGAGGAGAGCATGAAGCTCACCGACCTGACCCTCAGATGCCAATGCCAATAGAAACAGAGCCTTGGAAAAACAATCTTTAATCGAAGGGGCCACACAAACCGAGGAAAGGAAAGATAAGAGAACACCCTGTCCAAGGACCAGGACGGCTCAGGTGGCGCATGAGCAAGCCGGAGGTAAAACAAAGAAAAAGAAAGCTTACGGAATGGGGCAGAACATTAGTGGGCAGACATTAGTGCCCCAGAACATGGGGCAGCTGGAAACATTAGTGAAATACAATCCATGATATACAAGAGTGTTTCCCATGCCCTTTCACGACCCATAGCTTTGCTGTTCAATAAATCTCTAAAGTCATACCTTCCATGATATCCTTAAAAAAGAAAGTTCATATGTAGGCAATCTGGCAGACATAAATAATTACAGACCCATATCAAATCTTTCTATATTATAAAAAATATTTAATTATTTACAAACAGCTCTACTCTTATCTCGTAAAATTCAACATACAAAGTCCCTGACAGGTTTGTCTTCAGCTCCCAAAAAGAGTACCAATGATGCAATTGATAGTCTGCTTGACTTAATCTACTCAGCCCTTGACAAAAATGAGTTTCCAATTGGACTCTTCATTAATCTGAGACAGGCCTTTGATACTGTTAACCATAACTACCTCTTACTTAAACTTAAACTCCGCATGTCTGCGCATTTCCCCCTCCCCGAGAGGGGGTAGGGGGGGGCCTGCGATCCACACCCCCTGTTCCAAGGCTGGATATCAAAATACGCGAAAACCGCTGACCGGAGGGAGGGAGGGTTACCGGGGAGCTTCCGGGACTCACCCAGAAAATGGCGTTTCATTACATTCAACGCTGGTTTTCTGGGGGGAATCCCTACAGCTCCCCGGAGCTACTTCACCAAAGACTAAGGAAAAAAGGAGACTTACCTGGAAGGCGGTCAGTGCTCCACACCTAAACTCGAAGTCGAGACAGGCTGCAGCCGCCGACCCAAAGCGACACAGGCCCGACTAGGCCCAGGAACGTTCACAAGGTAGCGTGCAGCCAGGACCCTGCTCGACTGCCAAAAACTCTGTGCCCAAATGTCAGCCTAGGACATGTTCTCAAAAACGGAAGCAAGAGCAGTGAACTTACAAACGTCATGGGCACAGGGATAGACCGCAGGCTGGCTAGACTTAATAACCCTGCGGATGACCTGAGAGACCCATACCCGGCAACAGGGAAGAAGGGAAACCGAATCAACCCAAAGTGCGTCTCCGGACACAAGAAGCCGTGGCGTGCAAATAATGGAGGAGGGCTGCAACCGGACACAAAACATGATGCACCCCCGGCCTGACCAACCAAGCATCAACAACCTAAGAACCCTTCCAGAAAGCAGTCTCATTCTTTGCCAGAACAAAAAGAGACTGCACTGCAACTGCAGATAAACAAACCTATATCCACAACCGATAGAGCAGAAACCCCTGCACCAGTAGAGAGCATGAATCTCCCAGACCATATACCCCCTGAGGCCAATACCAAGAGGAAAAGAGCCTTCAAAAACAATCTTGAACCAAAGGGGCCACAACAAACCGAGGAGAAGAGAGGTAAGAGAGCACTCTGTCCAAAGACCAGGACGGCTCAAGTGGCCGGAGGTGAAACAACGCCTAGACAGCTTACGAAACGGCACAGAAGTAACATCTATACCGAAAGCAAGCTGAAGCGGCTCCACCAGTGCTGCATGATACAAAGTGACAGTATTCGGCATAACCCAAACCGAAAGTGAAGTACAACGACAAAGAGACAAAAACAAATGGAAGGACCGCCAGGAAACTTCATACTGCCACCGAGACGAAGCCCGCAGGTAGGACACCATAAACAAAGCCACCTGGTCACCATATAACTGGTGATAAACTCGAGTCAAAAATACCAAACACGAAGACTCGAGGAGAAGAGTGAACCAGGCCAATTTCCTGAAAGAGGCGGAGCCACGGAAAAACCTCCGGGTTCAGACACCAGGCAAGCATCGCCTGACACCACGGTTGGGCCGGCCACCATAGGGCCAAAAGGACAACTCGCCCCCTGGTAAGTCTCCAAGCAAGCCAAGACCTGGATCAACAGCTGAACCGGAGGAAAGAAGTACAGGAACCCCCACCCTGACCAGTCCTGCCGAAAGGCGTCGATCCCGACAGCCTCCCGGTTGGGGAAGGGCTCCACATATACCGGAAGACGCCTCGACCACGCTGACACGAAGAGGTCCACCTCCGAGCGCCCAAACGTCTGGCAGAGCCAACTGAATGAGTCGGCGTTGACCATCCATTCCATGGACAGGGGAACGAACCAGGACAGGCTGTCCGCCAGGACATTGGACACCCATCAGACAAGAACCGGCAGAAGAGCCAAACCCCAAGAACTCGGAAGACGAGTCACCCAAAGCAACCAACCCCAAAGAGCCAAGGACCGCATCGAACCCCCTCAGTTCAGGCAATAAACCACTGGGGAGCAGTCCGAATGGAGCTAGATCGTTGATCCCCAAGCGACTTAAACCCTCCGAAGCACAAACCACACCACCGCGAACTCCCGCACCATGCTGTGGGCCTAACAGAAGGATGGACCCCACCGCCCCTGGCCGGTCTGGTAAGCACTGGTTACAAAGCCCCAGCCGAGAGACGACTCGTCCGTGAACACATCGAGCGAGGGCTCGGGTAGGCGCCAAGGAACTGAACCCCGAAAAATCCAAAGAGGAAATCGGCAATGCAGCAGCCAACGTAAGGCCACCGGCGGTTGAACTCAGCGATCGCAAGAGAGGCAGAAGGGACGTTCCCGAAGGAACTAGAACAGTCGATGAAGCCAAACCCGACCCGGCGGGTAGACCATCATCGCAGAGTACAGACTCCTGCACAGATCCTCAAACAACCACCGGGTGACCCGGAAGCCCCCCAGAAACCAGCGCATGCGGGACTGCAGCCGAAGGAGAGACTCCGGAGGAAGAGACAAGAAAGCGATCCGAGAGTCCCACACAAGATCCAGCCAGGTCCGAACCTGGGAGAGAACTAGATGGGACTTCCGCCAGTTCACCAGGAACCCGAACCCGGCTAGCTGGGAAAGCACCACGCCCCTGGCAAGCAGACACGCAAATCGACTGGGAGCCCAAATCAGCCAGTCGTCGAGGTATGCCAACACCCGAACACCGAACAGACGTAGACGGGCCACAACAACCCGGGCAAAACGTGTGAACATGCGAGGCGTCAGGTTCAACCCCAATGGGAGACAACGAAAGCGGTAACACTGATGTCCCACAACAAAACCAAGCCAGTCCCTGAACCTCGGATGAATATGGACGTGCAAATACACGTCCTCGAGGTCTAGGGACACCATCCAAGAGCCCAGCTTCAAAAGAAGCCGGACCTGGGATAGAGTGGTCATCCGAAAGGAGGAACAAAAAACCCAGGGGTTCAGATGGGACAAGTCCAGAATGAACCGCAGGTCCAGACAGTCCCGTTTCGGAACTGGAAACAGGCGGGAAACCCACCTGAGGGACGTCGTCGCTTCGACCACGCCTAAGCATACCAACTCCAAGAGGGCGCAGGAGAAGAGGCCTGACCCGCCAGGCCCAAACCCCCCCCACCTGAAGGAGAAGCCACCCAATGCCAACGAAGGCTGCGAGGAACGACCCGAAAAGCCCACGAATCGTGGGACCAAGCGTGAGAGAACAGAGCAAGCCTCCCCCCCCCATCGCCCCGTCAATGGGGTGAACCGCAAAAGGGCCGATGCCCCTTACGAGAACCGACCTGCGCACAGAGCGAGCACTATGCTGACCAGACGCAGCTAGGACCGAAGGCTGCACCGGCTCCGAAACTGGCACCTGTGGCAGTTTCCTCGACGGGCGGAACCACGGGCCCTGGCACGATACGGGGTACAACAGAAGGTGTGCCAAGCATCCAGCGAAAACAAAGGGAAGTCTTCTAGCCAGGACGACTCCGGAACGTCATACCAAACCTAGTACGGAGACGAAGACCCAAACCTGAAGGAAGACGGATTCATCATAGAGGCATAATCCGGGTCGCGCAGGAGGCAAGCCACAATGGTCGCCCGCACCTCAGGCAGAGAGATACGGGAAGCCGAAAACCTTCAGAAGGAAGGAACCGAACCCAAATCCAAGTTGTACGCAGAGGGGGGTAAAAGAAAATCCCACTCCTTGTAACAGCAAGCCCCGCTCAAAGGGTCGGAAAACCCAGGCGGGGTCCAATGGGGCCCAAGGCCCCCAAGTCAGCTCCTCCCCAATGCTGGGAACCTCCACGTCAGGCCCCGGGGCCGAGTTGTCCTCCAAAGCCCCAGCCTCACAAGAAAAAGCCAGGGGCAGCAGAAATAGCAGGAAGAGGATGGGCCCACTGATCAGACCCCAGAGCTATGGCAGGAGGAACCGACTCTAATGCCTCCGCAGCCACCCCGGAAGGGGCAACCCCAGAAGTTGCCCGAGTCTCAGAAACCTCTAAACCCTACCCCGACCCCAAAGCCCTCAGACGCTTGGGGTGGGGGGTGGGGGCAAATGAACCACAGCAGGGAAAAGAACAAGAGGGTGCAGAGAGAACCAAGGCCGAAGTGACCAAAACCCCCAAGTCCGGGTCCCAATAAACAAAACGGGGCAGCTTCAGGGTATCCAGGGAAGCAACCAATGGACAGCGTACCTAGAGGGAACAGAGCCGGCCGCTGTTATGGGTGAAAACTAGCTGCTCAGTACCCCGCGTCCCTATCAGTGCAAAAAAACTACCACTTACCCCAAGGCAAACAAGGGAGAATCCCCCAAATACTCGGGGCGGTCAATCGCCATGCAGCGAAAGACCAACAGAGGTAGACCCAAGGCGACTTGTGGAAGGGAACCCCAAGCCCCAAGGGCAGTACTTACAGGGCACTTAGTGAAGTTAGCCCTAAGCGCATGCAGCCCGAGTACCCTGGAAAACGTCTTCCAGCTCACCCTCACCACCACCAGCACCAGCAGCAGCAGCAGCAGGAGGAGGAAGAGGAACACTCCCTCCCCAGAGCCAAACAAAGGCTACGAAACCCCAGCTGACCCCAAGGGTGGGGTAAATGCCGAGCAGCAGGAACCCCAACGGGAATGTAAGCCCAAAGATTCTAGGTAAGGCAGTCCTAGAACCAAAGGGTAGTACTTACAGGACACTTAGGGACGGCAGACCTAAGCTCATGCAGTCCCAGTACACTGTTACTTCTGGCCACTGCACCACAAACAGCAGGAAAACACCACAGGAGCACTAAATCCCGCAAGAAACTGAGGCAAGAGTTCACAGCCGCCCCAGAGTGCTTCAGCCTAAGAACTGAGGTGTGAGTAGCCAGAACGATGGTCTGGGGCTTTCCCCCCTTTGGGGAGGGGAGGGAGGGCTGTGCGGACAAGAGGTACGGCAGCATAGAATGACATTTGCTTGTTTCCTTTGTTTTCTTTAGGGGAACTCTGTTTCTCTGTTTGGTCTTGGGTTTTTTGCAATTTCCTACCATGTGGGGATTGTTTTGAGATGCCTACCTTTCTGGATGCCTAACCCCAGTTGATGGCAGATGGAATACCCCCAAATACAAAGGGGGGGGGGGTTCCTAGGGGCCATTGCTCCCTGCACCTCTCTGAGGGGACCATGGTTAGTGATCCCCAGTAGGCAGAAATCCATTGACTGAACCCATAGACTAATATAGCATATATCAGTCCGATAACTCCAGGGAGCCGAAGGGGCTCCCCACAGAAATTATATTAATGATTAATAGAATTAACAAATCAAAGGCTGGCACTTATATCTTTTAAGTGTAATTCTAAAGCACAACTCACCTTTCGGCAGAGTCTTCCAGAAGAAGCATCATCAAGAGATGCCAGTTCCTCGTCAAATGTTCGTACTGTTATTTCCTTTTCACGCAACACAGCCAACTGGTCTAGCAGGACATTATTCTCCTTAAAAGAATTAAAATAATAATGAATTTTTATTTAATTCCTGATAAGAGTTTTCACATGCTTGAATTAAACATGCTTTTGAGAAGAATTAATATTTTCTATCTTGTGCTTTATGGGGCAAAATAGAAAAATGTGATTAACTTTGAATAAAGAGAATTTAAATATGCAGCAGAAAATGCCAAACAAAAATATCACTACAGATTGGAAACTAAACTTGAAAAAATTTAATAACTTATTTTCAAACATATATATAATATCACAAACAAAATAGTCTACCAAACTATTAATCCAAAGCATCTCACTCAACTCTTAACTTTACTAATTAGAAATATTTTCTTAAAAGAAGAGTAATCATACCTGGGTTGTGCATGCTAGTTGAATCTCCAGCTCTTCTCTCTTTCGAACTTCAGAACCTAGTTCATTCTGGGTTGCCTTCAGCCTCTCCTGTAGCTCCTCAATCCTATTACGAGCTTCATTATCCTCAGGCACTCGGTCTTCCGAGTTCTAAATAATCAAATTTTAAATCAATTTTCTACGCGTGCAAAATTGGACTGAAATGTTACTAATATTAATAATAATTAAAAATATATGCTTATAATACCTTTTCTTAATTTCACCGTTTAAATCTTGATTTTACCTCATAAGAAAGTAATGAGATATATTTGTACTGAAATAGTAAATTAGGAATACAGTACAAGTATAATGCAATAAGACTGCCTACAAAGTTTCCTTTAGAGTAAAATTTATTCTCTTGTTCATGAATTGTTTCCTAGTGTTAGGGAGAGGAAGGCTGCTCATTATTTAATTGCAGGATAACTCACTCGCTCACTTGCTATCTCACTCGCTCGCACACTATCCCTCGCTTTCTCGCTTACTATCTCTCACTCACTCCCTCGCTCGCTCACTATCTCTCACTCTCTCGCTCGCTCACTTACTATCTCTCACTCCCTCGCTATCTCTCTCTCACTCGTTCACTATCTCTCACTCACTCACGATCTCTCGCTCACTATCTTTCACTCCCTCTCGCTCGCTATCTCTCACTCCCTCGTTTGCTCTATCTCTCACTCGCTCACTATCACTCACTATCTCTCACTCGCTCACTATCTCTCTCTCACTATCTCTCTCTCGCTCATTATCTCTATCTCTCACTCCCTCGCTCGCTCGCTTACTATCTCTCACTCCCTCGCTATCTCTCTCTCTCTCGCTCACTATCTCTCACTCCCTCGTTTGCACTCTCTCTCTCGCTCGCTCACTATCTCTCTCTCGCTCACTATCTCTCTCTCGCTCACTCTCTCTCTCGCTCACTCTCTCTCTCTCTCTCTCTCTCGCTCACTCTCTCTCTCGCTCACTCTCTCTCTCTCTCGCTCTCACTCTCTCTCTCTCTCTCTCGCTCTCTCTCTCTCTCTCTCGCTCACTCTCTCTCTCTCTCTCTCGCTCTCTCTCTCTCTCTCTCTCGCTCACTCTCTCTCTCTCTCTCTCGCTCTCTCTCTCTCTCTCTCTCTCTCTCTCTCTCTCTCTCTCTCTCTCTCTCTCGCTCTCTCTCTCTCTCTCTCGCTCACTCGCTCTCTCTCTCTCTCTCGCTCATCTCTCTCTCTCTCTCTCTCTCTCTCTCTCTCTTCGTTCACTATCTCTCTCTCCTCGCTCACTCTCTCTCTCTTCGCTCACTCTCTCTCTCTCTCGCTCACTCTCTCTCTCTCTCTCGCTCACTCTCTCTCTCTCGCTCACTATCTCTCTCTCTCGCTCACTATCTCTCTCTCTCGCTCACTATCTCTCTCTCTCGCTCACTATCTCTCTCTCGCTCACTATCTCTCTCTCTCGCTCACTATCTCTCTCTCGCTCACTATCTCTCTCTCGCTCACTATCTCTCTCTCGCTCACTATCTCTCTCTCGCTCACTATCTCTCTCTCGCTCACTATCTCTCTCTCGCTCACTATCTCTCTCTCGCTCACTATCTCTCTCTCGCTCACTATCTCTCTCTCGCTCACTATCTCTCTCTCGCTCACTATCTCTCTCTCGCTCACTATCTCTCTCTCGCTCACTATCTCTCTCTCTCTCTCTCTCTCTCGCTCACTATCTCTCTCTCGCTCACTATCTCTCTCTCGCTCACTATCTCTCTCTCGCTCACTATCTCTCTCTCGCTCACTATCTCTCTCTCTCGCTCACTATCTCTCTCTCGCTCACTCTCTCTCGCTCCCTATATCTCTCTCTCGCTCACTATCTCTCTCTCGCTCACTATCTCTCTCTCGCTCACTATCTCTCTCTCGCTCACTATCTCTCTCTCGCTCACTATCTCTCTCTCGCTCACTATCTCTCTCTCTCTCCCCCTCTCTCTCTCTTTCTCCCTAGCCAAAGACTGACCTGCTACACCAAGAAATATGAAGCGGTCCTCCAACAAAATTCACAGCTTGTAAAAAATAAAAAAAATAAATAAAAAATATATATATACAAATGATACCACTTGCAGGAAAACATTGGTCAAGCTGGTGAAAACGTGCCATCCAGTATTGGCTTGTGATGATGAGGATGACAGATAAGTAATGTGTTTTGGTTTCAAAAGTAATAAAATAAATTTATGAAAAGCAATTATGGAAGGTTCTGGCAAACACCATACATATTAAATTTTATAAACCCTCCAAAATGATGAATAAAATCACAAGCTAGTACCTTACATGAACATTCCCTTACACAGAAAAAAAGTTTAAAAACAATTACGTGAAAGCTACTTCATTTTTCATCACTAACAAAAGAGAGAGTTCAGTATAGTACTATTTCAGGAAATTATATAGCAAATTTGAGCGCTACTATATAAAGGCTGGAATTTGTAACTATTTGGAATTTGCGTATAAAATAAAAAGGGGCAAGCAAAGGGCAAGTGGGATGCAGACTACTGAAGAAAGGTGTTACCTGGACATCAATATCGTGATCCTCCTCCTTACCGCAGATACCAGAGATAAGGGCAAGGTCTTGATATTAACATCAAACACTTTACAAACAAATGATTTCAGTTAGGGACAGACTCAAGCTGTCACTGGACATTTGGTACATTTTCTGTCTATAACCTACTGAAATAATTTTTGACATTTGACTATTTCATTGGAGACCAGAGCAGCCTATTAGGCATATTCTTAGTGGAAAGTCTAAGACATAAGTACTGTATGTAGCTAATCAACTTAGTGACCAAGGCATTTCCTCCTCATCTTTGGGAAAATTATAAAGACATTTTCAATGCATCAGGTCTTCAATGCAAAATAAACATGCATACTGACATTTTACACAAATGTAAAATTAGCACATTGGCCTTACGTTAGCCATGAAAAATGCATATACTGTACTGCACATACAATACAGTATTCAAGTTTTCCTCATCCCACTTTTACGTTACACTACAATACTGTATGCATAAACAAACCACACATCCTTCAAAGGGCACTAGTTGAAGTGTTTATTGAATTATTTTTAATAAAATTGTATCTGGGAATGCCCTACTAAAAAGAATTTCTTCAAAACTGATTTTCTAGAACTGAAGGCCTATCATACACCATACACAAATAGTTGGTGTTTAATTCACACTCATATACAACAGACTAATTATGATCCAGCCGTAAGCATGTGTACTGAACCCTCTATTCAAGATATATATACAGTACACTAATAACTTTGGTTTGTGTTACAGGCAATAATTGAACTAATGTAATGTAAATCACAAAACTTTCTTTAAATGGTATACAAAATACTGAATGTTAAAAAAAGGAAATCCATTTCAACATCTGATAGAACTTTACATAGTTAAAACAGGAACAACCAGCCGATGCTTTTCACAACACTTGTACAGACAGAGCATGCAATGTTAAGGGATAGAATGACATTATTATGTCAGTCTCACAAAATATGCATAGAACTTTAAGATTTAAAATGTTTTTTTTTTTAATTAATTTGCCATTAAATACAACAGTACAGTACTACTAAGCTTTAAATAGCTTAGTAAATCAATTAAAACTATAGATCTTATTACAAAATACAGTAGATTGTATTTTGTCATGGTGCATGCTCTAATAGTTCAAGCTCCATTTTTCTATTGAATGAGGACATTATTGTTGAAACATTAGATGATATTAAAAAAAGTATCTTGTCCCTGTGGAGAACGGTTAGGGATCACTGGAATGAATGACAATTGACCTAACTGTACTTGGGTATTACCCTAATTATGAACATGTACAAAGGTAGGGAGACAATGGTGAAACTAAACATTAACAGATATATAAGCAAAACACACACATAATAATAATAAATAAAATAGCTGAAAAATGTGATAACTGACTATAGAAATAATAGTTGCAAAAAGATAAACTTTGTGTGATGGGTTAACTTAGAGTGATGGGTTTACATCACTTTACGGGTGATAGGTTTACAGTCTCCGTGGTGTAGTGGTAAGACACTCGCCTGGCGTTCCGCGAGCGCTATGTCATGGGTTCGTATCCTGGCCGGGGAGGATTTACTGGGCGCAATTCCTTAACTGTAGCCTCTGTTTAACGCAACAGTAAAATGTGTACTTGGATGAAAAAACGATTCTTCGCGGCAGGGGATCGTATTCCAGGGACCATAGGATTAAGGACTTGCCCGAAACGCTACGCGTACTAGTGGCTCTACAACCATGTAACAACTCTTGTATATATCTCAAAAAAAAACTCCCATGTACAAGTGGACAACACAAAGCTACGAGATGACTAACACTAATAGTCTATAATTAGTAAACCTACATGGTCATTGATATTGAATGATTTATGACAGCAAATAATTATTAACAGAGGAAGACTAACACAAGCTCAATTATAGATTATATTCAATGAATTATTTGAGGGGTCTCGGTAGCATAGTGGGGTTCGTTCTCGACTCTCAAACAGGAATCCTGGGTTTGAATCCCTGGAGGACAGAAATGGTTGGGCATGTTTCCTTTTATTTAATGCCTGTCTTCACCTAGCAGTAAATAGGTGACCAGAAGTTAGTCAACTGTTGTGGAGTTACTTCCTGGGAAGGGTCAGTAGTTTGACCTTTGGGGGGGGGGGGGTAAATACCTCACTATAAGCCTAACATACATATACACAGGCTGCCTATCCCTGACAAAAGGAATTATTATCTTCAACATATTAACATACTGGATAATACAACGAAGAAAATACAAGTTTTTCAGTATATAAAAATATTAGATGCAAATTGCCTTTATTATGAAAATCCACAGGGGCCGTGACGAGGACTCGAACCTATGCACTGAGTATTCCCAGAAATTTCCTCATTGATATATCATAATAATGTGATTTCTCTGTGTATTGCCTTTATAAATAATAAAGTACCAAGAAAGCAGAACAAAATCTAGTTCAAAATTACAAGGCAACATCACTACTTTTGAAGTACTGTACTATAATACAGGGAAAGATAAAATATTTCTTAAAATTGCAGAAATAATCTAAAAGTGCATGCTCTTCTCACTAGTTGGTAGAAATTAAAAAATAAATCTTTTAATTATGACATTGAGTGCTTTGTGTGTACGAGTATCTCAACCTGCCATCCAAGAATGATAGTATATATGTATAAATTGCTATCCACACTTCCGTGGAAATAAACATTCTATTCACCTGGGCTGAATGGGTCATGAACCATGACCCATTCATGGACCCCAAGTGTGTGGGGGCCTCGATAGAGTGTCGGCCTCACACGCGTGGAGTCCACGGTTCGAGACCCACACAGCCCAGGTGAATGAAATATATGTATGGCTATTATGTATGGTGGTACAAAAATATGGACAGTTTCCCCCCCCCCAAAAAATTTCCACGTTTTGTAATACAGTACTTATTTTATAAAAGTCCCAAAAAAAGACAATCATCAAATCTAACTTTCCCTATGCCTAGGATGTATATGAACTAAATTAGGCATAGGATTGTGCATGTTAGGTTTAGTTTAGATTAATGGCTAGTTTTAAATTTTTTATGTCTTTTTAAAATTTCAATGCAGTAGTACAAAATAGGATATTTTTTTAGAGTCCATATTTTTTATACATTCAATCATTAGTAGTAATTAGTTCTATCATTTTTGGAGACTGGAGTCATTCTATTAAGATGGTGACTTGGTGTACCTGATTCAACGAATTACCTTTATCTCGAACTCAACTGATTTTCATCATTTCGCCAAACATTGCCCAATTTACGTGGCAACATTTGCTTATGCACTGACCTATTCTAACCCCCCCCAAAAAAAGATGTGGCGTTAGTGACCTGTGTGGTGTTCTCGCAGGAGTGCGAGCGTCGGATGTTCTGATCCTCCACAATGATGGAGCGTCGCTTGTTCCTACCCCTCTGTTGCTGGGCGCCTGCCCGCGCCTCCTCCAGGTTCTTTTGTAGCTCATCACAGCGAGCCTCCACAGATTCCAAGTTACTACACAAGCTGTGGGGTGGACAAGGCCATCTATTACTTTTGGTATATGTCAAACAAGCTAATTTTAACAAAAATATATATCACATTAAAGATACTCTTGCCAATATATTATTCCTACCATGTGATATTTTTAAATAATAATTAAAACAATTCTCAAACTGGATGATAAAATATCACATCATTTTCTTTAATCTATACTACTGTATAAGAGAATATCTTTGTCTGTACAAAGTTGGAGGCCAAACGTCTGGGGATAGCCTCACCCAAATTTGCAAGGAGCATGGGGTGTGGTCTGCGGTACAGGACAGACATAGGCTGGTCAAGATAGGCCTACGTTAAGCGCTTTTTTCTACATTAAGCGCAATTTTCTGAGAGAAGGGGAGAGGGGGGGGGAAGCAGGGGGATGAGGGGACCAAGGGGAGGGGGAAGCAGGGGGATGAGGGGACCAAGGGGAGGGGGAAGCAGGGACCAAGGAGAGAGGGAAGCAGGGGGGATGAGGGGACCAAGGAGAAGGGGAAGCAGGGACCAAGGAGAGGGGGGAAGCAGGGGAATGAGGGGACCAAGGGGAGGGGGAAGCAGGGACCAAGGAAAGGGCGAGGCAGGGGGGATGAGGGGACCAAGGAGTGGGGGAGGCAGGGGGATAAGGGGACCAAGGGGAGGGGGAGGCAGGAGGCTTAGGGGACCAAGGGGAAGGGGAGGCAGGGGGATAAGGGGACCAAGGGGAGGGGGAGGCAGGGACCAAGGGGAGGGGGAGGCAGGAGGATGAGGGGACCAAGAGGAGGGGGAGGCAGGGGGAATGAGGGGACCAAGGGGGAGGGGGGAAGCAGGGACCAAGGAGAGGGGGAGGCAGGGACCAAGGGGAGGGGGGGAAGCAGGGGGGATGAGGGGTCCAAGGTGAGGGGGATGAGGGGACCAAGGGGAGGGGGAGGCAGGGGGGATGAGGGGACCAAGGGGAGGGGGAAGCAGGGACCAAGGGGAGGGGAAGCAGGGACCAAGGGGAGGGGAAGCAGGGACCAAGGGGAGGGGAAGCAGGGACCAAGGGGAGGGGAAGCAGGGACCAAGGGGAGGGGGAAGCAGGGGGAATGAGGGGACCAAGGGGAGGGGGAAGCAGGGGGGGATGAGGGGACCAAGGGGAGGGGGAGGCAAGGGGGATGAGGGGACCAAGGGGAGGGGGAGGCAGGGGGATGAGGGGACCAAGGGGAGGGGGGAGCAGGGGGGATGAGGGGACCAAGGGGAGGGGGAAGCAGGGGGGATGAGGGGACCAAGGGGAGGGGGAGGCAGGGACCAAGGGGAGGGTGAAGCAGGGGAGATGAGGAGACCAAGGGGAGGGAGAGGCAGGGGGGATGAGGGGACCAAAGGGAGGGGGAAGCAGGGACCAAGGGGAGGGGGAAGCAGGGACCAAGGGGAGGGAAAGCAGGGACCAAGGGGAGGGAAAGCAGGGACCAAGGGGAGGGGAAGCAGGGACCAAGGGGAGGGGGAAGCAGGGGGAATGAGGGGACCAAGGGGAGGGGGAAGCAGGGGGGGATGAGGGGACCAAGGGGAGGGGGAGGCAAGGGGGATGAGGGGGACCAAGGGGAGGGGGAGGCAGGGGGGATGAGGGGACCAAGGGGAGGGGGAAGCAGGGGGGATGAGGGGACCAAGGGGAGGGGGAGGCAGGGACCAAGGGGAGGGGGAGGCAGGGACCAAGGGGAGGGTGAAGCAGGGGAGATGAGGAGACCAAGGGGAGGGGGAGGCAGGGGGGATGAGGGGACCAAAGGGAGGGGGAAGCAGGGACCAAGGGGAGGGGGAAGCAGGGGGGATGAGGGGACCAAGGGGAGGGGGAAGCAGAGGGGGATGAGGGGACCAAGGGGAGGGGGAGGCAGGGACCAAGGGGAGGGGGAGGCAGGGACCAAGGGGAGGGGGAGGCAAGGACCAAGGGGAGGGGGAAGCAGGGGGGATGAGGGGACCAAGGGGAGGGGGAGGCAGGGGGGATGAGGGGACCAAGGGGAGGGGGAGGCAGGGGGGATGAGGGGACCAAAGGGAGGGGGAAGCAGGGACCAAGGGGAGGGGGAAGCAGGGACCAAGGGGAGGGGGAGGCAGGGACCAAGGGGAGGGGGAAGCAGGGGGGAAAGGGGACCAAGGGGAGGGGGAGGCAGGGGGGATGAGGGGACCAAGGGGAGGGGGAAGCAGGGACCAAGGGGAGGGGAAGCAGGGACCAAGGGGAGGGGGAGGCAGGGGGGATGATTGGACCAAGGGGAGGGGGAGGCAGGGACCAAGGGGAGGGGGAGGCAGGGGGGATGAGGGGACCAAGGGGAGGGGGAGGCAGGGGGGATGAGGGGACCAAGGGGAGGGGGAGGCAGGGGGGATGAGGGGACCAAGGGGAGGGGGAGGCAGGGGGGATGAGGGGACCAAGGGGAGGGGGAGGCAGGGGGGATGAGGGGACCAAGGGGAGGGGGAGGCAGGGGGGATGAGGGGACCAATGGGAGGGGGAGGCAGGGGGGGATGAGGGGACCAAGGGGAGGGGGATGAGGGGACCAAGGGGAGGGGGAGACAGGGACCAAGGGGAGGGTGAAGCAGGGGAGATGAGGAGACCAAGGGGAGGGGGAGGCAGGGGGGATGAGGGGACCAAAGGGAGGGGGAAGCAGGGACCAAGGGGAGGGGGAAGCAGGGACCAAGGGGAGGGGAAGCAGGGACCAAGGGGAGGGGAACCAGGGACCAAGGGGAGGGGAAGCAGGGACCAAGGGGAGGGGGAAGCAGGGGGAATGAGGGGACCAAGGGGAGGGGGAAGCAGGGGGGAATGAGGGGACCAAGGGGAGGGGGAAGCAGGGGGGGATGAGGGGACCAAGGGGAGGGGGAGGCAAGGGGGATGAGGGGACCAAGGGGAGGGGGAGGCAGGGGGAATGAGGGGACCAAGGGGAGGGGGAAGCAGGGGGGATGAGGGGACCAACGGGAGGGGGAGGCAGGGACCAAGGGGAGGGGGAGGCAGGGACCAAGGGGAGGGTGAAGCAGGGGAGATGAGGAGACCAAGGGGAGGGGGAGGCAGGGGGGATGAGGGGACCAAAGGGAGGGGGAAGCAGGGACCAAGGGGAGGGGGAAGCAGGGACCAAGGGGAGGGGGATGAGGGGACCAAGGGGAGGGGGAAGCAGGGGGGATGAGGGGACCAAGGGGAGGGGGAGGCAGGGACCAAGGGGAGGGGGAGGCAGGGACCAAGGGGAGGGGGAGGCAAGGACCAAGGGGAGGGGGAAGCAGGGGGGATGAGGGGACCAAGGGGAGGGGGAGGCAGGGGGGATGAGGGGACCAAGGGGAGGGGGAGGCAGGGGGGATGAGGGGACCAAAGGGAGGGGGAAGCAGGGACCAAGGGGAGGGGGGAGCAGGGACCAAGGGGAGGGGGAGGCAGGGACCAAGGGGAGGGGGAAGCAGGGGGGGATGAGGGGACCAAGGGGAGGGGGAGGCAGGGGGGATGAGGGGACCAAGGGGAGGGGGGGGCAAGCAGGGACCAAGGGGAGGGGAAGCAGGGACCAAGGGGAGGGAGAGGCAGGGGGGATGAGGGGACCAAGGGGAGGGGGAGGCAGGGACCAAGGGGAGGGGGAGGCAGGGACCAAGGGGAGGGGGAGGCAGGGGGGATGAGGGGACCAATGGGAGGGGGGGATGAGGGGACCAAGGGGAGGGGGAGGCAGGGACCAAGGGGAGGGGGAGGCAGGGACCAAGGAGAGGGGGAAGCAGGGGGATGAGGGGACCAATTGGAGGGGGATGAGGGGACCAAGGGGAGGGGGATGAGGGGACCATAGGGGGGGAGAGGGGGTTGAGGGGGACCAAGGGGAAATGGGGCAAAGAGTAGGACAAAGGTGTGGTTTGTTAATAATAAAGTTTCTGATAAGGGGGGGAGGGGGGGGAGGGGGGATGAGGGGATGGAAGGGGGGATGAGGGGATGGAAGGGGGGATGAGGGGATGGAAGGGGGGATGAGGGGATGGAAGGGGGGATGAGGGGATGGAAGGGGGGATGAGGTGAAGAGTGGCGAAATGGTGGAAAGAGGAAGGAAAAGACCTGGGGAACCTTTCTGTTATATGTATGTAAATGATAATTTATCACTTTTCAAGATTGGAGGAGGGGGGGAGTTAGGAAATGAGAAGAGGATAAAGAAAATGGGGGTGGAGAGGGTGGGGAGAAGTGGAAAGACGAGAGGGAGGAGAGAGGGGGAGAGAGAGGGGGGGGAGAGAGAGAGGGGGGGAGTGAGGGAAGAATGGGTAGAGGGAAGAGGGGGAGAGGGAAGAGGGGGAGAGGGAAGAGGGGGAGAGGGAAGAGGGGGAGAGGGAAGAGGGGGAGAGGGAAGAGGGGGGTAGAGGGAAGAGGGGGGTAGAGGGAAAAGGGGGGGAGAGGGAAGAGGGGGGGAGAGGGAAGAGGGGGGGGAGAGGGAAGAGGGGGGGGAGAGGGAAGAGGGGGGGGGAGAGGGAAGAGGGGGGGGGAGAGGGAAGAGGGGGGGGAGAGGGAAGAGGGGGGGGAGAGGGAAGAGGGGGGGAGAGGGAAGAGGGGGGAGAGGGAAGAGGGGGAGAGGGAAGAGGGGGGAGAGGGAAGAGGGGGGAGAGGGAAGAGGGGGGAGAGGGAAGAGGGGGGAGAAGGAAGAGGGGGGAGAGGGAAGAGGGGGGGAGAGGGAAGAGGGGGGGGAGAGGGAAGAGGGGGGAGAGGGAAGAGGGGGGGAGAGGGAAGAGGGGAGGAGAGGGAAGAGGGGGGGAGAGGGAAGAGGGGGGGAGAGGGAAGAGGGGGGGAGAGGGAAGAGGGGGGGAGGGGGAAGAGGGGGGAGAGGGAAGAGGGGGGGGAGAGGGAAGAGGGGGGGGGGGGAGAGGGAAGAGGGGGGAGAGGGAAGAGGGGGGGAGAGGGAAGAGGGGGGGAGAGGGAAGAGGGGGGGAGAGGGAAGAGGGGGGGAGAGGGAAGAGGGGGGGAGAGGGAAGAGGGGGGAGAGGGAAGAGGGGGGGAGAGGGAAGAGGGGGGGAGAGGGAAGAGGGGGGGAGAGGGAAGAGGGGGGAGAGGGAAGAGGGGGGGAAGAGGGAAGAGGGGGGGAGAGGGAATAGGGGGAGAGGAGGTAGAGGGGGGAGAGAGGGGAGAGGAAGGAAAAGGGGGAGGGACGATGTGGGAGAGACGGAAAAGGAGGAACGGGAGTGGAGGGGGGGGGGTAGAGACTGCCCCAGACACCACTCCTATAGAGTAAACAAATATTTGTAATGTTAAACATTCATATCACCGAGTCAGTGAAAACAGCAATGAAATCAAAGTGAAAACACAACAAATACAAATATTCTTTATTCTTCATTCCTGAAAATAAAATTATTCTGTACAGTACGAATTTCAGTGCAAATATTCTGCATATTCTGTTACTACGTTACTACGTAGTAACAGCGTAACAACGTTACTACGCTATCACTCCTCAGCCACTACTTCAAGACGTCTTAGTGGACCCATTGACAAAGAATAGTCTTGTTGAACAAATCCACAAGGGCCGTGACGAGGATTCGAACCTACGTCCGAGATCATCCCAGACGCTGCCTTAATCGACTGAGCTACGATATGGCCAAAAAGATTTGAAACCAGAAGTTGTACCAACTTACTTGGATCCTGCAGCCTCTCCCGAGACACAAACCAGGGTTTTACACAACTCCCCCCTGCACTCGAGCTATGTGAATAGGCCGTTCTACCTCTTTGCCCTTCATTACACACATAAATCACAATAGAAACAGTCGTGTTGACATGGGGCCGAGGGGCTACGTACTTCCTTATTTTACGCTTGTCAGCGGCGCCCTCGGCAGCGAGTCTGTTGTTGTTCTTCTCCAGCTCGTGTATGGAGATCTCCAGCTGCTCGTAGATGCGAAGCCGAGAATCGTTCACCTCCCTCAGGGCGGCCGTCTGCTTGCTCAGGTACTGCGGACAAGATCATCGCACGTCACTACTTATAAAGAGTTCATCCATAATCAACACAATGAGAATTATTGTCCATAAAAGGTACATGACTGAGTACAACAGATTACAACTCTTAAGAGCTCAACTATAGCCCGGGCTACATGGACATTTCGTTCTGAGTGGCTAACTCTACACAATAACAGAAGATCACAAGTCACCAGTGATTGGCCCATATCACTCACAACCAGTGATTGTGATCCTCAGGAGGATCACAATCCTGTGGGTTGTGATCTTCACAACCCACAGGTCACTGTGATCATTGTTAACACCTGACATACCACTTTCTGCGACTCTGCTAGATCTTGAGGTTATCTTGAGATGATTTCGGGGCTTTAGTGTCCCCGCGGCCCGGTCCTCGACCAGGCCTCCACCCCCAGGAAGCAGCCCGTGACAGCCGACTAACTCCCAGGTACCTATTTACTGCTAGGTAACAGGGGCATTCAGGGTGAAAGAAACTTTGCCCATTTGTTTCTGCCTCGTGCGGGAATCGAACCCGCGCCACAGAATTACGAGTCCTGCGCGCTATCCACCAGGCTACGAGGCCCCCCATCTACGAGGTAGATGGATTAAAATATAAAAAATTACCCCATGCGTCCAAGGATAATATCTTTAAACATTCAAAATATGAAGGTGCAAATTATTTAATATGTTAACATTCACTGGCTGAAAGCTCAACCACTTGGACTGGACGATAGAGCGACGGTATCGCTTCATGCAGGTCGGCGTTCAATCCCTGGCCGTCCAAGTCGTTGAGCACCATTCCTTCCCCCGTCCCATCCCGAACCCTTCCCAGTGCTATATAGTCATAATGGCTACGCGCTTCCCCCACACGGGAGACATCTCCCGTCACGCAGGGTGCAGTCGCACCTCCACAGATCTCCATTATCATCTTTCGATACTGGTAATGGCTCAAAACGGCCACCACTTACGGGCTATTCATGCCCGTGCCACCTATCGGGTGGCTTAATCTTCATCAATCAATCATCAGCGCTCGCCCCTCACTGCCTGAAAAATGGCATGCAGGCAGTGTAGTCATCAAGCCCACAGACCATGTACAGTACAGGAACACAACCCACGTACCCCCTGCCTAACATCAACAGCCAGGATCTTCACACAGGAAAACCAAGACCGGATACCATGACCCTCACACAAGGACTGAGGAGAAGGCGTCACCATGAGACAGTCACTTGGGTCACAGGTGGCGGCGCCAGCAGCTCACGTTCGGGCGGTACGCTTGGTATTCAGGGGTATTCAAGCTCCATCTACCAGCCCGTCCTCATAAACAATGGCCAAAGCCCATTCCATCCACCCGCCAAACCCCCTGTTTATGAATGAAAAACGGTTTACACACAACTCACAACTGATGATGTTCGAACACCAAGTGCTTCGCTGACGACTTTTGTTCGAACCAGAACGCTGTCATTACTTCACCCGCGTACTAATGGCCAACAGAACCTAAACACCTAACCTAACCAGTGCCCGAAACACTGCGTGTTAATGGCTCTGCAATTATGTAAAAATACCAATATTATGTAATCTCACAAACCAATTGTACATTCTCGTAAATAAATATATAAATGCCTAAATAAGCACAATATGCTAATATATTTTAATATTAATTTATATTTGAGAAACTTCCTATTTTGAATGAACAGTCCTGGAAACACAAACCGAGGCTGACTCTATTTTCCGCTTGTTACAACTTGTAATAAAGTTGTTACATCTTGGCTTAACGTGTTTATGACGTATTAGAACGTTGCTACAACTTGCTATATTGGTTGTTATAACTGGTTAGGAGGTGTTAAAACTTGTTCGAACGTTGTACCAACGTCGTAGTTTCGGTGTGTGTTTGGCGGGAGCTAGCATGTTAAAATTGTTGAATGCGTCTTTGGGGTCGACCGCTGGATGGAATGGTCTTGGTCTGAGGACAGGTTGCCATGTACACCACTGAACCTCAGACGTGTATTGTAAAAGGTTCGTGTTTTCATTCCAGCTAATGTTTTTCCTATTATTTTTGTCACTTGTGGCAAGAAGATGGCTGACTACCCATCATCAGTCCAGACGTGTTCTCCAAGTCATAAATAATGATGTGAAAAAAATGTTGTTGCAATGTAGAGAACAAAAGTTTACTGTTTAATTGTCTGCAAGCATTATTGTTGCAGCTTTTGGGTCACCACCTTAACCAAGCTCTCTAACAGCCTGGTTGATCAGTCCAGCAACCAGGAGGCCTGGTCGACGACCGGGCCGCGGGGACACTAAGCCCCGGAAGCACCTCAAGGTAACCTCAAGGTAAGAGTCGTTTGGTTGATGGATGAGTGTTGTCACCATCACCTGTCAAGTGAAGGGGGCCTCGTAGCCTGGTGGATAGTGCGCAGGACTCGTAATTCTGTGGCGCGGGTTCGATTCCCGCACGAGGTAGAAACAAATGGGCAAAGTTTCTTTCACCCTGAATGCCCCTGTTACCTAGCAGTAAATAGGTACCTGGGTGTTAGTCAGCTGTCACGGGCTGCTTCCTGGGGGTGGAGGCCTGGTCGAGGACCGGGCCGCGGGGACACTAAAGCCCCGAAATCATCTCAAGATAACCTCAAGATAACCATATGAACGCATTAGGTATATACATCAACCCGTACTCTCACTAATTACGTCGCTTTTCGCTCGTATGCGCACTAAGGTGTAAAATGATCATAATAAAAAATGGAAGCAGCTCACAAAATTGACGTATTATCTCGTTTTCTGGTTTAGGTCCTCTGGCTTACTCTGTTAGGTTAGAAGAGGAAATTTTCAATTAACGGTTTTCATGAAGTTTTGAAACCTAAGGTGAACTTCCTGCCCTCCTAACCTACCAGAAGACCCTTAACTTGCTGTTTTGGAAAACAAAAATCCGAAAATTATTTTCGATTTTTTTAATTTTCAAATTGCTGTATTTTTTGGCAGTAGCGCATACGAGCAAAGAGCGACGTGTTTTGTAAGGACAGGTTGGTATAACCTTCCCATTGTACCAAAATAAAATTGCCGTAAGGTTATCTTATATGATATGATATAAAACGATATGGAAGAAAATGCAGAATAGAACCAGTGAAGAGCAGAGGTGCTATAGGCACAATCAGAGAACACTGTATAAACATCAGAGGTCCGCGGTTGTTCAACATCCTCCCAGCGAGCATAAGAAATATTGCTGGAACAACCGTGGACATTTTCAAGAGGAAACTAGATTTATTCCTCCAAGGAGTGCCGGACCAACCGGGCTGTGGTGGGTATGTGGGCCTGCGGGCCGCTCCAAGCAACAGCCTGGTGGACCAAACTCTCACAAGTCAAGCCTGGCCTCGGGCCGGGCTTGGGGAGTAGAAGAACTCCCAGAACCCCATCAACCAGGTATCTTGAGGTTATCTTGAGATGATTTCGGGGCTTTAGTGTCCCCGCGGCCCGGTCCTCGACCAGGCCTCCACCCCCAGGAAGCAGCCCGTGACAGTTGACTAACACCCAGGTACCTATTTTACTGCTAGGTAACAGGGGCATAGGGTGAAAGAAACTCTGCCCATTGTTTCTCGCCGGCGCCTGGGATCGAACCCAGGACCACAGGATCACAAGTCCCGCGTGCTGTCAGCTCGGCCGACCGGTGAAGTGCTATTTTCTGAGTGCTTATGCCTAAGAAGGATAAACAATGGGTGTTCAAGTGCAAGTATGTTTACTGATCAATGGTTGTTATTCCCCGCAAACTTTGCGTTGACCTCTGTCCTGATTTCATCCAGCAGGATTCTGAATTGTAGCAATGTTTTGTCATTGACGGCTTCGGCGGGTAGGCGGTTCCATGGGTTTATAACCCTGTGGGTGAAAAAAAAATCTCCTATTTTCTGTGTTACATTGTGGCTTGTTGAGCTTCATGCCGTGGCTCCTTGTGTGTGTTATATCTGACCTTTGAAAAGCTCAACCTCCTAAAACGAGAGTTCTTGTAGTAACTCTTCGGTCAAAAGTACAAATATGTTTGCAGGCGATGAGTCACAATAACGTGGCTGAAGTATGTTGACCAGGCCACACACTAGAAGGTGAAGGGACGACGACGTTTCGGTCCGTCCTGGACCATTCTCAAGTCGATTCTCAATCGACTTGAGAATGGTCCAGGACGGACCGAAACGTCGTCGTCCCTTCATCTTCTAGTGTGTGGTCTGGTCTACAAATATGTCGTGATGAACCACCAGAAAGTAGACTTTTGTATGATTGAATTTGGACAAACCGTTAAGGTTTTTATATTAATGTTGCTAATGAGGCCTAACCAAACAATCGTAGGCCTTATAAACGCTGAGGCCTAATTCTTTTAGCATGGTAAAAGAAATTGCAATTCTCTTACCATGTCGTAGCTCAGTCGATTAAGGCAGCGTTTGGGATGCTCTCGGACGTAGGTTCGAATCCTCGACACGGCCCTTGTGGATTTGTTCGTTCATAATTTGTTTCGTTCGTTTAATATACCAATGTGCTTTAATATACTTACTAATCTCTCTCATCTCATTTTTTTCTTGCAATGTATTTGTTATCATTTTATTAATTCTGATAGAATTTACCTACTTAAAATTATCTGTTAGATTAAGGACCTGCCCGAAACGCTGCGCGTACTAGTGGCTTTACAAGAGTGCAATTACTGTACTATGCTATGTATACTCACAAACCCAATGTACCTTCTTGTATATAAATAAATAAATAAATAAATAAATAAAAATAATATAGTGCATATATGTACTGTACTGGGTCTAGGAATATTTAAGTTTGGTAATTAGCATAATTTTTTCCGGACTATTAAACAGTACAAAAAGTGGCTTACTGGGGATCCTATTGGTACGATCGACCACAGTTACAAAAAAAGTACCCTCATTTAAGGAGGATGGATTGCTTTTATAGCAGTAGTCTGGATCAATATCCTCCAAATTATTCAGTAGTTTTAAATTCCGACGAGATCAGCCTTGTCATGTCTGGTTTGCGATGATATCCCGCCGAACACATACCGTAACTACGACGTTAGTACAACGTTCGAACGAGTTTTAACACCTAACCAGTTATAACAACCAATATAGCAAGTTGTAACAATGTTCTAATGCGTCATAAACACGTTCAGCCAAGATGTAACAACTTTATTACAAGTTGTAACAAGCGGAAAATAGAGACAGTTTCGGTTTGTGTTTCCAGGGATTAGCCCTCGGGCCTGCTTGATACCTGGTTAATGGGGTTCTGGGAGTTCTTCTACTCCCCAAGCCCGGCCCGAGGCCAGGCTTGACTTGTGAGAGTTTGGTCCACCAGGCTGTTGCTTGGAGCGGCCCGCAGGCCCACATATACCTGCTTGATGGGGTTCTGGGAGTTCTTCTACTCCCCAAGCCCGGCCCGAGGCCAGGCTTGACTTGTGAGAGTTTGGTCCACCAGGCTGTTCCTTGGAGCGGCCCGCAGGCCCACATATACCTGGTTGATGGGGTTCTGGGAGTTCTTCTACTACCCAAGCCCGGCCCGAGGCCAGGCTTGACTTGTGAGAGTTTGGTCCACCAGGCTGTTGCTTGGAGCGGCCCGCAGGCCCACATATACCTGCTTGATGGGGTTCTGGGAGTTCTTCTACTCCCCAAGCCCGGCCCGAGGCCAGGCTTGACTTGTGAGAGTTTGGTCCACCAGGCTGTTGCTTGGAGCGGCCCGCAGGCCCACATATACCTGGTTGATGGGGTTCTGGGAGTTCTTCTACTCCCCAAGCCCGGCCCGAGGCCAGGCTTGACTTGTGAGAGTTTGGTCCACCAGGCTGTTGCTTGGAGCGGCCCGCAGGCCCACATATACCTGCTTGATGGGGTTCTGGGAGATCTTCTACTCCCCAAGCCCGGCCCGAGGCCAGGCTTGACTTGTGAGAGTTTGGTCCACCAGGCTGTTGCTTGGAGCGGCCCGCAGGCCCACATATACCTGGTTGATGGGGTTCTGGGAGTTCTTCTACTCCCCAAGCCCGGCCCGAGGCCAGGCTTGACTTGTGAGAGTTTGGTCCACCAGGCTGTTGCTTGGAGCGGTCCGCAGGCCCACATATACCTGGTTGATGGGGTTCTGGGAGTTCTTCTACTCCCCAAGCCCGGCCCGAGGCCAGGCTTGACTTGCGAGAGTTTGGTCCACCAGGCTGTTGCTTGGAGCGGCCCGCAGGCCCACATACCCACCACAGCCTGGTTGGTCCGGCACTCCTTGGAGGAAACAATCTAGTTTCCTCTTGAAGATGTCCACGGTTGTTCCGGCAATATTTCTTATGCTCGCTGGGAGGACGTTGAACAACCGCGGACCTCTGATGTTTATACAGTGTTCTCTGATTGTGCCTATGGCACCTCTGCTCTTCACTGGTTCTATTCTGCATTTTCTTCCATATCGTTCACTCCAGTACGTTGTTATTTTACTGTGCTGCAGGAAAGATGTCGCTGCTCCCTGAATACGACCCGTCGCTGCGGTGTCGTGGAAGACGACAACCTCACCAGTACTTTGTCTCGTGTCTCGCGCAGGAAAAAATGAGTTTATAATGTACTCACTTAGTTGTGCTTTCGGGGGTTGAGCTTCGGCTCTTTGGTCCCGCCTCTCAACGCACAAAATGTGTTCATGTGTGTGTATTCGTGTGGCGTTGTTTTCTCTTGACAGAGGGATGCACCTGAGAGTGCCACGGGTGCAGTGCCACGGGTGCAGTGCCACGGGTGCAGTGCCACGGGTGCAGTGCCACGGGTGTAGTGACACCTGACCTGACACCACGACCCGAATCCCTTACCCCCCCCCCCCACAGGTCGAGAGGGGAAGGGGGGGGGGAATAATACCACCACCACAGCCAGATGGCGGTGTATGGCAGTCTCCCATACACAGACCGTGGTGGTGGGGGGGGGGGGCGGTGACAAGTACGTGACACAGGTGACAATGGCGGGAATGCAGGTCACCAACACTGTCACCTCCGTCGTGACCCACTCCTGTCACTGACGACACGGGGTGAGGGGGGGGGACATGGTGGGTACAGGGGGAGGGGAAGACATGAAGGGTCAGGCGGGAGCACGGAGACGACATATGGTTATCTTGAGATCTTGAGGTTATCTTGAGATGATTTCGGGGCTTTAGTGTCCCCGCGGCCCGGTCCTCGACCAGGCCTCCACCCCCCAGGAAGCAGCCCGTGACAGCTGACTAACACCCAGGTACCTATTTACTGCTAGGTAACAGGTAAGGAGAACAGGAGAATGTACAGAAGGAGGGGTGAGAATAAGACGTAAACAGTGCAACGAAAGCGAAGGTAACACCAGAGAAGAAGAGAGGAAGAAGGACAGGTGATGAAAAAGGTAAAGTAAGAGAAGCAGAGAAAGAATGAGGGGGGGGGAGGCATGGGGGGAGGGGGGGAGTGTAGGAAGACCACTTCCGGTGGAGTGACCTCCAACAGTACGCGCAGACTCGCCAGGCGGAGCGCTGCCACTTGGCCCAGAAGGAATCCAGCAAATATGTTGACCTAATTGACAGGGGGGGGGGAGGAACCAAGTTTGACCTAGCAGATGGGGCGGAGGGGTGAGGAGTGAGGGGTGAGGGACAAGGAGTGAGGGGTGAGGGACAAGGAGTGAGGGGTGAGGGGGGCGAGACAAGGGGAAACTGGGCGCAGGTGGGTGACCACATCAGTCACCCACTACCCACTACCCCCCCCCCCCCACACACACACACACACACACACTATTTCTCAACCCTCCTATGCCATTCAGACTCTCCCTAACTTTCAGACCCATTATGCCCTTCCTACCCCCCTAGATGCCCAGACCCCATTTGCCTACCAGGCACTAATAGGTACTCCCAGGCAACCCCTAGCACCCCCCCCCCAGACACCCCCACTCGCCCCCAAGATACCCCCCCCCCCCGTCCCCCCCAGACCCCCGGCGAAAGGGGGAACTCTGGCACCAGAGTTTCCAAGAAGTTACCCCATCACCAATACTGATGGGGTATCCAATAAAGCAGAAGAGACAAAAGAAAGAGTTAGTGAGGCAGACCCAGACATGGTGGCAATAGTGGAAACTAAAATAAATAGCATGATCTCGGATGCAATCTTTCCAGAGGGGTACCAGGTGATAAGAAAAGAAAGGACACAGAGACAGGGAGGAGGAGTGGCACTCCTAATAAAGCGGAAATGGAAGTTTGATGAGCTGGAAAATCTGGGTACCAATGAAAGCACGAACTTCATACATGGAACTCTGACAGTGGATGGGAAGAAGATTGTAATCTTGATACTCTACAATCCCCCACCAAACAGTAGAAGGCCCAGGCAGGAGTACGAGGACAGCAACACAACATGTATAGATGAACTGCAGAGGGCAGCAGCTATAGCGCATAGAATGAGAGCGAAGCTACTGGTCATGGGAGACCTAAATCACGGAGAGATAGATTGGGAAACGAGGCATCCCCATGGCGGGGAGGAGACCTGGGGAGCGAAGCTGGTAGACGTTATTGACAGGAATTTCCTAACACAGCATGTGAAGGAAGACATTAGGGAAAGAGGAGGGGATACACCCAGCCTATTAGACCTCGTTTTCACCCAGAATGTAGAAGACATCGAGCATTTAGAACATGAAATACCACTAGGAGCCAGTGACCATTGTGTCCTAGTCTTTGACTACATGATGGAGCTTAAAATTGTGACCAAAGGACAAGAGGTCCGGGAAAGGAGACTTGATTACAGAAAAGGGGACTACAGAAGGATAAGGGACTACCTGGGAGAAGTGCAGTGGGAGGAAGAAATTAGAGGAAAAACAGTCCAAGATATGATGAACCAAGTCATATGGAAATGCAAGGAGGCTGGAGAGAGAGTTATTCCAACAGTAAAGGAAAAAAGCAGGAAGGAATATAATAACCCATGGTTTAATAGACAGTGTCAGGAAGCAAAAGTGAGAAGCAGGATGGAGTGGAGGAAGTACAGAAGACAAAGGACAGAGCACAACAGGATTAGATGTATCAGAGCTAGGAACGATTACATTAACATAAGACGAGTGTCGGAAAGAAATTATGAGAATGATATTGCAATCAAAGCGAAAAAGCAACCAAAATTACTACATATCCATATAAGAAGGAAGATGTCGGTAAATGACCAAGTGACAAGACTGAGGAAAACAGAGGGGGCATATACAGAAAGCGACAAGGAAATCTGTGAGGTACTGAATGCAAGTTTCCATGGAGTGTTCACAACCGAGCCTGAGCAGCTCCCATTGTTGGAAGAGATTACCCTAGATGGAAGACTATCAGATATAGAGGTGACAGCAGAGTAGGTAATGAAACAGTTGACAACACTACATGTAACTAAAGCGGTTGGATCAGGCAA